AAGGAACGGAGCGGCTGGTTCCCTGCCCTGCCCCGGAAGGGAGGGCTCTGCGGGGAGGGTGGTTCGTTGCCACGACGGGACAGGAGCAGCCCCGTCCTCCCCACCTCCTCCCCAGAGAGATTTCGGCGCTAGCCTGGGCAGATCTGGTGTTTACCTCCCTCCCACTGCTCTGCGGCAGCTTCCTCCACAAAAAATAACAACAATAGTAATAATAAAGCAGCTTTGCTCTAGAGGAATTCGCCGGGATTTATCGTGGGTTTGAGGCGCCGGGGGGAGAGGGATGGTTTATTACCTGTCTCGCCCTCCTTCTGGGGCAGAGGGTCTCTGAGCTGACCCTGCCTCTGGATACACAGGCTAAGCCAGGCTCTTTCCTTACTTTATGGAAGTTTTCATTATCCGAGCTGCCTCCCAGCCAAACCGGGTGGGTATTTCCCTAGCAAAGATTTAACAGAGCTGTCTGGAGCTCTGCAAGAAACAGGGAGGTGGCAAAGGGAATTATGGCCTCGTCATGCATCGTGGAGAGCCCAACCCAGCTCGCTAGGCCACCGAGTCTACTGCTGGTATCTCCAGTCCTGCTTTCCAGGGTTTCCTGGATCTCTGAGGCAGCAGCATCCCAGCCCACGTGCTCAGCATAGGCAGGGACTGTCCAGCTCTCCAACACCCATCTCCAAGGCCCAGCCTCACTGCATGCAACGAGGCTTCCCTAAATCACCAGTCAGAGGCATAAAACCAGGCACCCAACACCAAAGGTGTGCAGAGACACAGGAACTACTTTGATTCAGATCAGTAGATGGGGAACCCAGACCCCCCTTGCATCCAGCACCCCGAGAGTCACAGCCACGGGTGCTGAGAAAGGCTGCTCGGTCCTGGTCCAAACCCACGTGCCCAGGATGCCCAGGTATGGCTGCACTGGAGCAAAGGGGCTTCAGAGCCAGTACGGTTGCACGAGGACACAAACAGGCACATAAAGGACACTACAGCAACACACACCTAACACCCAAGCTCACCACATGTTGCAGCTCCCTCAGATTGGAAAAAAACCACACCTCCCCTTCTCTCTCAAACAAGCAACTACCAAGATTTCCACGAGCAGACCCCAAACCCCAACTTCTTTATCTCCATCCACCTAAGCCAACGCCATCCCAGCAAGGGGCTCCTGGCTGCTAAAAAAAATAATGGATCTGGGCATCATTTAAAGCAGGGAATCCTGCCCTGGCCAAGGCTGGGGATGAGCTCCCTCACCACGGCAGCCCATCGGTCAGATGTGGGATGCAGAGCATCCCCCCACTTCGGCAGCACTGCCAGGAATTGGGTGTTTGCCCAACAGCCCCCCATGAGAGCCCAGGATAAATATCCTCTCGTTAGCTCGGGAACTAATAAGGTGTGGCTGGAGGAGTAAGAAACAAGATGATAAATTACCCCAGCGCAGCCCTATCGCTAATAGATAAAGGTTATTTTAATGTTTCCATTAAAAACTCAATTTTAAGGATTTATAACTCCGTTACAGCTCTTTCCTTGGGCTAGAGTTGGCAGCTAACTGCCTGCTTGTGGCTTTCCTCATTATTTAAGAAGTCAGCAATTGAGAGCTATGCAAGCAGGGTAGTGGGTACCACAGAGACGGGTGGCAGGGTCTGGTGTCCCCTGGGAGACAGAAACAAGCCCAAAACAGCAGGACCATGCCAGGCAAGTCCCCTGCTGCCACCCGTTTGCTCCTGCATGGAAAAATAAGGTCTAAAAAGCAGCTTTTCCCCCCGGATTTGCACGGCGTGAACTCCCTGGCACTTCAATGGGTTCCTCAGCAGCTCACAGCCCCGGCAGGAAATCGAGTAAATAGTGGGAAAACTGCTCCACCCCATTTTTAGATAACAAGGAGGCTGCGGCGCCCTGGCCCGTGACCGCCCCGAGAAGAGGCGGCGGGGGCAGGAGTGGAGGCAGGGAGCGAAGCTGGCAGGGGTTCAAAGCCCACTCTGGTGGCAAAAGCCCAAACCCAAATT